ATATTTCAAGTCACGTTTTGACTGTGCCATTTCGTACCGAAGGTAGCTTGTGGCAGCTCTGTGCTGCTTCCAAAAACTTTCACTCTCATGCTGCATTTGTAAATAAAGAAGCTTGGACATTTCAGGCCCTGTGAGACCCAAAGCTTGGGACTTTAAAGTGAGTCCCCAGACTTCAGTTACCAGTTTGCATGCAAAGAGAGCCCTTGAGGATGTAAATCTATTGCCTCATTCAAAAGAGCAAGTGGCTGAGCTCAGGTGGATGGGAACACGTGGCAGGTTTTGTACTTCATTTCTGTATTAAACATTTACATCAAATGAAATTATTGTAGTCAGGATACAGTTTGAGGAATCTTCTGTCTAAGCTGCCACAAATTGTCAAGCTACTGTATGTAGGGTGGTGTCATAGCATGGAACAATGACTAAACCTCACCTGCCAGAAAGGAAAGGCAGTGGGGGAACCCTTTGTCATGATAATTTTCTGTAGTCACTGCTGAAGGCAGAGCTTCTCTCTGAGGAGTGGGTCTTTCCAACTGACTAAGGGCTCCTGCAGTAAAGCTCCTGAAGGCAGATGATGTAGAACAGAATTCACCTTCCTACACATCCTCACAGATGCTCTCACTTTCTTAAGTATGAAGGGCTACTCCCCGTTGTACCATCCTGCTGGGTATTTGGCTGTGTTACCCTGACCGTGTCACTATGCAGTAACATTTTTGGGGAGAGTAGGGTGCTGTAAATCTGGCAGGCACACACAACCAAGTGATGTGAAGCAGTCTTCCTTGTGGGAGTTAAGTGCAGCATCTTGGATAACACCAAATGTGATTCACAAGGAATGAAATTTTAACTCTCGGGTTGTTCACAGTGCAGAAAAACATTTCAAATCTGTTTGATTTTTTTTAGGCTAGAATTACAGTTGTTGCTGCAGTGACAAGCACTGTCACTCTTGACACTGCTTTGAAACACTTAGGAAATGGGAAATAGAGTCAGTGTTCAAGGTGTGATGTTAAGCAGCTCTGTTTCTCAGACTAGCACTGTGATGCAGACATGACTAAATTACACTGTTGTTATGCCTCTGATGGACTACCTAACAGAACTCTGCAAATAATTTATCTTGGAGACAAAATAAGGTGGCCGACTGTAGGAGACCCAGCTTTGTCAGTGTTCTGGAAGTTGCTCTTGGTCTGTGTGTTTGTTACTGCTCTTTGCAGAGCAAGTAGATGATACACTTCTGGCAATTTTCACTTGATTGAGGATCTTCACTATAGATGAGCTTCTAGCAGAAGTGGCTGGAAGAACTAGGAGCTCATGTTAGGAGCTAACAATAATCTGAGTGGAGATGTGTGCCACTCTCAGGGACTGGACCAGCATTAAAACTGGTGTAGCAGTCTAGTTGCAAGTCAAGACAAAGGAGGCCGTAACCATGAGAGGAGACAACAGTTGTTTGGAAGAACAGCGAAGTAGGCTGGACAGTACTAAAAGAGAGCACAGATGGGAAGCATAAAAGTGGATTTGAGAAAGGAATGAATCTAGGCTGGATTTTGAAGTTAGGTGGATAGTTGCTCATGGTCTCAGTGCAGGCGCAGGCTTCAATTGCTGAACGAAAGGAGATAGTACACGATTCAAACTGTCTTTGCCCAGCCATGCAGTGCATTGTCTCAGTCCATACCTGTAGGTAGAAGTGCTGAAATATTTCCTAATGTCATTGACACTCAGAGTTTCTAGCATTACTCCAGAGAGGCTAATAGAGGAGTGGTACTTCCAGGATCATCATCTCTCTGCTCAGTAGTATTCAGAGAGCTTTTGTTGGTACTTAGTTAAAAACAGAATGTAGATTTGTTTTAATTTTTATGAAGATGGTGTTAAGTGAGAGAGGCAAGGAAGCTTGGCTTTAGATTCAAAGCTTTGAAGAATGTCAGTACCAAGAACAATGCAGTCCAGCAATTAGAGGTTCATAAACGGTTTCCCTGAAGCATTGACCCTTTCACAGGATAAGAATTATAGATCTTTGGTAGCTGTGTCAGCCTAAGAAGATATCCTCTGCTTTGGAGTGGAGCTGGGTGCTATGTCTCTATAACAGAACTTCCTCACAAGGGCTGCTAATTTTGTTAGGTGTTTATTTACTGCATAATTAGGTTATATAAGGAGATAGGCTGATTAATCCAGTGGTCAGGAAGCTGCTAACCCAGGTAGCACAAAAACAGGTGTTTCAGTACTTTCAGTACCACTGAGGGTATTACCATGAAAAATGTAATAGGTACTCTTTTTTGGGTTTGATTTCTGCCTCTAGCTATGTTTTTATTCCATGTTACATAAGCTTTATCTTGTTAATCTGTAAATAAAAGGAGTGTGTAATAGAAGTGAAAAATGAGTTTGCAGAAAACACATTTTAATGAAGGCTTAAACGACGTCCTTTAATGTCTATTTTTAGCTCGGTAGCTAAAAATTTTAGCACTCCTTTCCTTTCATAACTAAAAGGCACCCCTCTCATTCTTTTTTATGCAAATTAGACCTCCCACACCATTAAATCATTTTTATTGACTATTGAGCCTGCAAAGAAGTGGACTGAACTTTAGTATGCTACATTACCATACCATAAAATACAATTTGTAGATCTTATTTAGATTCTGTGTTGCTGTACTTCCTCTAAATAATTGTTATTACTGAGGAAGATTTACAGGCACCATTGAAAGAATAAATACTCTCCATTTTGTATGCATTGAAACACCGACTGTGCATGATTTCACATCTAAACCCCTTTGCTCCCAATTCTTTTCTGAAATGAATCAAGTCACATGATGCTGTTAGTTACTAATAGAGTTTTTAATATGGCAGTATCCAGAACTTCTGCTGACTTCAAACAGTGCCAGGATTTCACCCCTTCTTTTGTGCTGTTAAGTTTGTGCTAACTTTGCAGATGAAGTGTTCATCTTCAGGCAGTGATTGCCTCTTTGCACATCACCATCCCCATTAATGCCACATGCACAGCGTCAGCTGCTATGCAGCACTTGGCAGGAAAATGCTCTGTTCCTTGGAAGTGCAAGGAAAATACTGTCCTCCCACAAATTTTTGCATAAGGCTGTGCAAATACTCAGCTTGACAAGGTACATGGCGGTGCTTTCTGTTATTATAGATAGCTGCAGCTTCTTGGAGCCAAGGGAAGGGATGCATGCAGAGATTTTATGATTAACCAGAGAGAAATGTATATGAGTCATTCTGAAAGAGTATAACTCTTATGAAGGAACTAATATTATGCTCATGTTGACAGCCTTGGAGAACGACATTTATCTGTAGCACAACCTAGGGATGGCCAAGGAATACTGGAGCAATGTCTCACCCTTCTTCTAGGAGGACCACCTCAGAAGTGGAAGGGTGTTCAGCCATGCGGTCACTTCAGTACAGAATTGTTTTTAGTGTGCCAATGGAAATGCTATTTGTGGTCCCAGTCTCATGTCAGATAGTCAAGGAGGAGCCTTTACATGGTCAGGCAGGACTGCCTTTGAGATGCTTTCCTGATCACCTCTTGCCAGTAAGCTTGATGTCATCATGCCAAGTCCCCACAGTCTTCTGGGTCTCCCAGTGTTTTGAAACTGGCAGAGTTTCTTAAATCTGTTTAAGAGAAATTGTCACACTAATTTCCCTCCTCACAGAGACTTCATGAGAATATTCACTGCCTTTAAAAGTCAGGGCATTTAAGGTTGTGTCTAATTTCAGAATAGTTTTTTCTAAATCTGGAGCCCGAATTAGTAATTTTGAATTGGACTCTTGAACTGTCAATACTTACTGCATTACCACATCAGTTAAAAAAAAAAAAAAGAGACCACTGATTTTTTGCAGTGAGAACACATAGAACACAAACAGGTTATGTATGGACCAAAGAGCAATGCCTGCTGCATGAAGAAAGAGAATTATTTTATATACATACATGCATACAGGTTTGTGTGTGTATATATATATATATCTGTCTAAAAACACAGTTTCCCTTTTCAGTTATGTGTAGCAGTGAAAACTGAGTATCACTTCTGACCTTTTGAAAGAATTTAATATCTAATAAATCTAGAATTAGACTATTTCAGTGGAAAGAGACCTACAATGATCATCCATTCAGTCCAACACAACAATCATCTAGTCAGACAATCATCCAGACCAAATCCTGAGAAATGTTAAAGTTCAACCATGAGATATGTTATGAAATTTATGTTGATCATGAGAAATTATTTCATTAACAAGTTGACATTCAAGCACATGAGTGTATGCCTGTTACATTTTTTTCCTAAAAAAACCACTAAGACAGTTGCTGATAGATCAAGAAAGTAAATGAGTGGTCTCTTCCAAGAGCTATATTTCGTTTTTCTGTAAAGTATGAGGAAGTAAATGGGTGAATACACAATATAAATAGATCTATATTATAAAAGTCTTTTGATTTTAACAGTCTCTGAAAAGTTAAGAGACAACTATCTTGTGAACTTGACAAATAAGCAGAGAGAAACACTTTTACCATATTTTTAAATGTGGAAATGCTCTTTTTAAGGTAAGTTATCTAATGTCCAGCTTGGATGTATCGTATTACTCTGACGTGTTTGAAGTTCTCAGTTGACAGTGATATCTTATTCTGTTCTTTTCCCCCCTCCCCAGATTATTTGGAAATACATATGACGACACCAAGTAGCTACCAGCCTTGCTTCCTTAGGGCTTAGTTCAGCACTGTTTACATTCTCAATGGACGAATCCTTAAGGTTGTCCTCTGTCAGGACACCACCTAAAGATGTCCATGAACATCTGTTTAGAGCCCTTTGCATTAGGAAAAGATCCATTCAGTGAATCCTGTCATAATAGTAAGCACTAACCATAGTAGTAAACATTGTGCCAGATCATGGCCTCATGTTTTAATATGCTTAAGGGAAATTATTTATAATTAATACAAAGAAAAGGTCTCTGTTAGATTTCCTGTAATGGTAGGGTGTTTTTTACTTTATTTTTATGGTTTGCTGTTTTGGTTTTTTTAGCTGAACTCTTCATGGAACAGCAGCATCTCAAAGAAGCAGGCTTTTGTATCCAGGAGGCAGCTAGTCTTTTCCCCACGTCTCATGCTGTATTGTACATGCGTGGGAGGTTTGCAGAGATGAAAGGCAATTTGGAGGAGGCTAAGCAATTGTATGATGAAGCGCTCACAGTGAATCCAGCTGGAGTGGAAATTATGAACAGCCTGGTGAGTTTGCAGGGGCTCAGCTCCATTATAGTATTTATGTTCCTGATTAACTGTAATAAGAGGGGAGAGGGCACATGCTTGCTCTGGATGCCATTGTCTTCCTAATCCTGAGAGCAAGTGACTGTTCCAAGCATGAATTGGGTAGCTTGAACCTCTATTTTAAGACTGGATTGAATGTTTTTAACTAATTAGCACTTGCGTCAAAAGTAAATATTTTAATTGACAAAGACTGATAGTTTTGGAAGTCAATTCACTGCTTTGTCTTTGCTGCTTTTTCTACTAACTGTTATGCATTTTAAATTAGCAGTACACTGATGTTCGAAAGATCTGAACTAAATAACTCTTGAATGGGAGATATATATTGATATATATATATAAATATATATAGATAGATATATATGTGGGGTTTGAAAACCTTGGGCTGGTGTCTTGTGTCTACACAAATCAAGATAAACTATGAGTTTACAACAAAATTAATCTGTTGCTCCCTTAAGCTACAGCTTAGCTCAGCCTTGTGTAGGGGCAGTGACTCCACATTTGTAGGTTTTTTTTGGTAACACTCCTACCCAGCAAGTTTTTCTTTTTTCTGTGGCACCAAGCCCAAAACAAACTGTTTTCCAGACACAGGGCCTAGAGCTTAATAACAGTAGTTGTAATACAGGGAGCTTTGTGGAAGACCAAACCCCACTTCTCTTGTGAAATCAGAACAGTAAATCAAATTTCATCAATTATTTGTCTTTTTAACTGTAGCCCTTACTAGGTCTCTCTGGGATTTTAGAAGTCTGTCTTGACTAATTTATTTTTTACAGGAATTCTATATCCATGTGACTGCTTAGTGTTTTTGTTAGCAGGTTTGTATCTCCTGGCATAAATTTGGTCCTGATGGGGTTTGCTGGTATCTCCCAAAGTGAAGGGGTATTAGTGCACAAGAGGACAAATGTGAAGTTCTAATTGAGAGAAAATAGTAGAACGTACAGGCAAGGGATGAGATATTTGGTAATAATGAATGTTTAGTACAAAAATAGCAAATTAATAGCTGATGCATATGTCAGGAGACATATGCTATACACATTTCAAGCTTATATGGGGTAATAATATTACTTTGATGTTCTAATATAGCCTTTACAAATTCAGTCATTAAAAACCTAGCTAGATGGAATTATATTCTTTGCTCAGTGTCATGATTTCAGATGTCACCGATACCAGAACAGCCATCAAGTTAGATTCCAACATGGTACTAACAGCTTTAATTTTTGTCTTATTTTGTGGACACAACCACATTCTGTGTCTTCCTATTTCAGTTGCTTGAAATTTTCTGAAACTACAGTAATTTGGAATAAAAATTTCTGAGATGCAAATCTGCTCTGACCCAGTCGACTTCAGAAAATGTCATAACTGTTACTGAAAATGAGGCTACAGAAGAGACCTTAAAGGCTTCTGTGACATCTTCTTTACTGTGCCTTAGTGTCTCCAGGTTTTGCAAGGAATGGGTAACATATTAATGCACTTTTTACCATCCCTAAGAAAATCCTTTCCAGGTTATCCAAGTTGTAACCTTTAAAAAACACATCTTGTATGTGCTTAGTAGATATGTATTTCTGAAAGCTCTAAAGTGTCTGTGAATGCTCCTTCCCCTCAAACTCCAGTAATTTTCAACAAAGACAAGAGAGATGACTCTGGTAACCACAGGCCTGTCAGTCTCACTTCAGTGACTGGTAAAATTATAGAGATTATTCTGGGAGTTACTGAAAAACACCTGAAAGACAATGCTGTCATTGGTCACAGCCAGGGTGGATTTGTGAAGGCACAAGCCCTGGGGCAACCCTGGGTGTACATACAGGGTAGGGGATGAGAGGCTGGAAAGCCACTTCACAGAAAGGGACCTGGGGGTCCTGGCTGAGGGCAAGTTGAACATGAGCCAGCAGTGCCCTGGCAGCCAGGAGGGCCAACCATGTCCTGAGGGGCATCAGGCAAAGCATCACCAGCCGGTCGAGGGAGGGGATTGTCCTGCTCTGCTCTGCACTGGGGCGGCCTCACCTTGAATATTGTGTGCAGTTTTGGGCACCACAGTATAGGAAGGTCCAAAGGAGGACCATGAAGATGTTGAAGAATCTAGAGGAGAAGCCCTACCAGGAGCAGCTGAGGTCACTTGGCTTGTTCAGCTTAGAGAAGCGGAGACTGAGGGGAGACCTCATAGCTGTCTATAGCTTCCTCATGAGGGGACGCAGAGAGGTAGGAACTTACCTCTTTTATCTCTGGTGACCAGTGTTAGGATGTGAGGGAATGCCCTGAATCTGTGTCAGGGGAGGCTTAAGTTGGATATTAGGAGAAGGTTTTTCACCCAGAGGATGGTTGAGCACTGGAACAGGCTCCCTATGGAAGTGGTCACAGCACCAAGCCTGCCAGAATTCTGGAAGTGTTTGGACAATGCTCACAGGCACATGGTGTGATTCTTGGGGCTATCTTGTGCAGTTTTGGGCCAGGAGACAGACTTTGATGATCCTTGTGGGTCCCTTCCAATTCAGAGTATTCTATGATGATGTCTTAGTCAAGGGATGGAAGTAAAATTTAGGAGAGTTGAAAAAGACAATGAGATGGGAAATTTGGGGGCAGAGACTCAGTCTGTAAGCAAGTGGGGAGGAAGAAAGATAAACTCAATAGCAAAGTGAGAGAAATAAGGATAGATGGAAAATAGGGTAAGATAGGTAAACTGGATAAGACTGGATAGATAAGACACATGGGTTGAGAGGTGGGCTTGTTGGAAAGGGCAAATTAAAGAGATCAATCTTATGAGAGTGGCAAAGGAGCAGGAACCTGTACTTTCTTTCCATATCCTTCAATCTCCTTAAGATTCTGATTCTTCCCATCCTGGTGCCAGCAAATATCAGTGAAAATCACTTGCTTAAGCATGTGCCTCATCTCCTTTATCTTGGCCATGCTGGCAGCCTGTGGTTTACACCTGTTAGCTAAGATAGCAAAGGTCTGGTCTATCCCTGCTGATATGAATCATGGCAGTAGTTATATGATGCCACATAATGGCACTCCTTTGTATGTTTTTCCAAAAGCTAGGAAATTGCACATAACAAGTTAGAAACATCTGATGAGCACTATAGAAAAGCCTGTAAAGAAATTAATCATTCTGCCTTCAGAATAGAGCTGGAATAATGTGCAGTAAACAAGGCTTTTAGGGCTATGCATCAAATGAAAAGGGCAAAAATAAAATATTGAATGGCTGCTAGCTAAGTGATTTTGTCCTGTGTACTGAATGAGACAGTGTCCCCATGGAGAACTTAAGACTGGGTTTATGCAGTTGAGGATGTAATGTAACAAGTGGTAAATTCTGAATCTCCTCAAGGCCATCAGAAGAAAACTGAATGCCTTTCTGAAATGTATGAATTAGCCAAGTACTAGCTGTACTTTTATTAAAAATACAAGTTTTTGAGCACAGTATGTTCAGTCCCCTACCAGAGGGAAATATATGTCTTGGCTTATGCAAGAGGCCAAAACAGATTATCACCTAGTTCCAAGGGGTTCAGAATTATGCAAGACACATACACAGGCAGCTGGAATTAAATTCGCACATGTTGTTTCAGTGCTGGTCCTCCCAAATTGAGTACATTGTTTTCCCACTGTAGTAATACTGTTGTGGATATGTAGTAATTTAGAGAAAGATGGTCTGGTTATGAGAATTACTGTTTGACTTGGTGCCATCCAACTGACCTAGTCCACTTTAAGGAAAGACTCTGCTGCAGACAGTGCTGATCCTCCCTGGTGTATCAACATCAATTAGCAAAGTAGTCATGTCTCTTCCCCTGGGCTCTCAGAAGTGGGTTGTCAAAGCTATATTTGGAAAGTTCCAACCTGAAGAGTGTTGCTGGCTTTAAATGAAGGGCACAGATCTAGCAATGAATGAGTCCACCGGGTGTCAGTAACTTCACCTTTACACAGAATACAGTCACCACCATAATACACACAAGCTCTTTCTCTGCTTAGCTGAAAATGGCTGTGTTTTACTGTGACTGTAGAGTGTTTACAATAGCTGTCAAATCAGTGAGCTTTCCATATAAAGCACGGTGCTGCGTGGAAGAGCAGCGCTGTTCGGCAGGAGTGCCATGCTGAGCACATCCGATGAAGTGGGTACATGCTCTGCTTCATCACAGGGGCCTTTGGCACTTGGTGTCAATACTGTGGTTAGGAAACCACGGGCACTTTGAAAATACCACATAGTTGTGCTGCTTCTTGTAACACTTGCAATTTCTGAGTGATGTCACAGGATCCTTAAGCCTGTATTAGGAATCCACCATTGGCATTTACAAAGTAAATACTACTGGCTAATACCTAATTTAAGGAAGCATATTTGTTGAGTTCTGTTTTCACTTGGAAAAAACATACACAGTCAGTTTTTGAGGCTATTTGGAGCATACTTATGTACCAAAGAACTCCTGGTGAGGTGTGGAACTACTCCTTTGGCTGCCAGAAACAATTAGCTTGGCCTTTAAAAATTGTACATACTGTGAGACCACAGTTTTCTTTCATAAATACAACTTGCTAAGGTTCTTTTTCCACATTTATTCTGATTCTGTCTCACACATTTCTATTAGAACAGCCCTGTTTTTTCCTTCTTCCCTTTCACAGGCTCCTTCTGGGGCCTGCTTGCAAGGATCACAGAGCACTTCTTTCCCCCAGGGAGGCTGATGGAGTTTCTACTGAGCAGGTGTCTTCGCTGGTCTAGAAACAAGAGTTTAGTCCATGTCCCCTTGTCTTACACTGTGGCCTCTGACAGCACATTTCTACAACCAGTAACTATGGCTTACATTTTGCAGTATGTACCAAATTTTGTTTATATAACATCATGCTATACACAGCTTTGGGACAGTGATAACAAAACTGACATGTGCCCAACAAAGTCAGAAAATATAATACAAGCTGGGGCAGATGACACTTCCTTGTAAAGCGATACACAAATCCATCTACCTGTATGTAACCAGAGAATGACATTG